AAAATCCRAAATGTCGCGAACACAGTGTCTCACAATGTCTCAGATATCGATCTCACAATGTCAAGTACATCTTCAGAGGAAGATGAAATCAGATCCCACGAGTAGTCCTCAACCTACAGTCCAAATGTTGCTGTCTCCAATGTCATCAGAACTCATAACCATCCTTCATACTCGTAGTAGTCCCGTAGGAGAACCCAGGAGTAGACTGAGACTGAGAAGGTAGGAGAGAGAGAGAGAGAGAGAGAGAGAGAGAGAGAGAGAGAGAGAGAGAGACCAGTGGAGGAAGATGACGGAGAGAAGGCAAAGCCTTTCTCCCTGGTACCTGTCACGGTAGCTATGGCGCTGAAAGGGCTGGCGCTGGGCCGCGGGCTGGGCCAGTGGCTGGCGCTGCTCCCAAGGCTGCGCTACTTCCTCTCTGCCGCGGAGCTCCTTCTCTCCTCGCTGCTCCTCGTAATGCTGCAGCGCTGCACTAATCCTGCTAACGCCGAAATGCTGTGCTACTTCCTCTCTGCCGCGGAGCTCCTTCTCTCCTCACTGCTCCTCGTAATGCTGCAGCGCTGCACTAATCCTGCTAACGCCGAAATGCTGTGCTAATCCTGAAGACTAACCTCCTCTCCACTAACCTACCAACTGAGGCTGGTACCCAGCTGATATAGTGCTGGGTCAGCCTCAGTCCTACTGAGGTCCTTCGGGTCTGGACCGTTGATCAGGCCCAACGGTTCAGATCCGATTTCGGAATCTGAAAAGTGGGCGCCAAAACTGTGCCGCTGGCTGGGCCTACCGATGAACCGGTACCTGGCCTAAACAACTAGCCGTTGGGTCTGGTGGGGTCTAAACGAGGCCTACCGGACCTTAAACTGGACCGACGTTTCCTAGGCCTACCTGGACCTAGCTGCGACCGTCGTGACCTGGTACCTAGGCCTAAACTATGCCTATTTCAGAACTGGGCCCTAACTGGGGCCCGTGGTATCAGTATGCCATACACTCCCCCCCTTGAAGACCGAGCTAACTGCGAGGGTGAAGCTGTCTGTCCAATGTCCGTACGGGGCGGGCGGGTTGGGCAGCTTCCTTAGCAAGTCGCTGTTTTTTGTAATGCGCGAAGATGAGGGGTGTTGTCGCCTTCAGGTCAGCTCATGAAATCCAGCATGTGTCGTTGGGATCGCATTGCTTGAATGTAACTTTGTACTGCATTGGCTTGTTGCTGTGCTTGCGATGAGCGAGGACGTGGTCGACCTCCTGGTGACCATCCATTGATGGAGGGTCGTGTGACCGTCTGCCCGGGAAATCCGCTGCTGAGGCTGGAGTATAGACTGCCAGCTTTGAGCGTGAAATATTGGGTGGACCGTCAAATGCAGGGGAATCTCGATTATGAAACAGGGACCTGTCGGGTCATCGCCAGCTGCTGAAGTGACCTTCCATGGACCAAACCACTTCGGGAGGAGCTTGCGCGAGACATGCTACTCGAGCGCGAATTCCTCGGAGGTGACCCAAACAAGGTCGCTGGCACGGATTGGACATGGGATGCGACGCCGATTCGCTTGCTGCTGCATACGGACCTGAGCCTTTTGCATATTTGCGTGGGCTTTGGCCAGCAGTTCCATGTACTTCTGTGTAGAAGCGGGGGAGCAAGCGGCGTCGATATCGGCAGCCCGTGGAAGCAAAATGTCTGCGAAGATACGGCCTTTCCGTCCACCGTGATGCAACTCAAAGGGAGTCACGCCGATCGTCGGGTGCACCTAAGTGTTGTAGGCGAACTCGATGTCGGGAAGGCGGTCAACCCAGTCCTTCTGATCCGGGTGGATGAGTGTGTGGAGCATCATCTGCGCAGTCTAGTGCGCGCGTTCCGTTTGCCCATCCGTTTGAGGATGCCGTGCGGAACTCGGTTTCATGTTGGTGTCGGATTCCACCATGAGTGTCGTCCAAAAGGCTGACATGAAACGAGTGTTGCGGTCATTGACGATGTCTTCCGGAACGCCATGGCTGCAAAACCAGCCGGTATGCAAAAGTCGTGCGAGCTCGGGAGCCGTTGCATGATACTTGCATGGAAGAAATCAGGCGTGCGTGCTCAAACGGTCAACGACCGTGAGAATACCATCATGGCCAAGGCGATCGTGAGGGAAAGGACCGGTTACATCCATAGCAATGGAAAGACCTGGTTCCTAAGGAATCGACAATGGTTTCAGTTCGCCGTACGGGAGCTGATGGTGCCCTTTGTTCCAGTGGCAAACTGCACATGACTGAATGTACCGGTTGACGTCGCTGATGATGTCCGACCAGTGAAATCGCTGGCGGAGTCGTGCAAGTGTGCATGCGACGCCAAGGTGTCCAGTCAGCGGCGAATCATGGTATTCGCCAAGGAGGCGAGTGCGCAAGATGTGGTCTTGGGGAACACACAACAAGTCCTTGCCTCGTGTATGGAGAAGCAAGTAGCCGTCGAGAATGCGATAATTGCTAGCCGGCGGGTGGTCCGATGATAAGACCGCATAGAGTGTGGAGAATCCTGGATCTGACTTGTAGCCGTTTACGAAATGTTGTTGCAGGTCCTCGTCGAGACCGAATGTGGAGTGCACCAAGGCGCAAAGATCGGGTCTTCGCGAGAGAGCATCCGCTGCCTTGTTCGGGGGGCCCGGAATATGCTTGGAGGTGGAAGTCGAAATGGTCAATGAAGTACATCCAACGACCGATCGTGCTGCTCACCGTGTCTTGCGTCTTGTAATAAGTCAACGGATTGTTGTCCGTTGCCCACGTGAATTGCCGACGCCCGAGGAGAAGGTGTCGCCAACGCTTAAGTACGGTGACAAAAGCTAGCAGTTCCTTTTTCCTCGCATCATCAAGTGTATTGATGGGTGGCACCTTTTGGCTGAAGTACTCAACCGTCATGTTGTTCCAAAACTGCGCCAATGCCGTAGCCGCAAGCGTCCGTAGTCACTTTGGTAGGCAAGGTCGGGTCATAGATGCTTAGGACGGGATCTTGGAGCAAGGTCGTCTTCAGCGTATGGAACGCGTGCCGGGCTTCGTCGTTGAACTCGAAGGGCACCAAGGGGGACGGACGTCGCGATAATGGTGCAGCGATTCGTTGAAAACCTTTGACGAAGCGCATGTAATATGATGCTAAGCCAAGAAAGGAGCGGACGTCGGTAGTACACTTGAGGTCCGACCAATCTTGAATGGCTTGCACTTTGTCCGCGACCGGACAAATGCCTTGCAGCGTAACGTAATGGCCCATGTACTCCAGCTCTTGCTGGGCAAACTCGCACTTGTCGCGGTTCGCCTTGTACTTAGCGATACAGAGCCGCTCCAAAATGGCGCGAAGGTGCTCGAGGTGCTCGTTCAGCAACCAACTATAAACCAAGATGTCATCAAGGTAAATGAGTACGGTGCGGTTAGAGCAGGTCGCGGAATTCCGTCGTCATAGCCGCTTGGAAAGTAGCCAGGGCATTGGCGAGACCGAAGGGCATGACGATCCACTCAAAGTGCCCATACCGCGTCTTGAATGCGGTTTTGTACCGATCTCTTGGCTGGAGCTCGATCCGGTGATATCCGGACTTTAGGTCAAGCTTCGAGAAGCACTTGGCGCCGCCTAGTCGCTCGAGAAGATCATCGATCCGAGGGAGAGGGCCGGCGTTCTTGATCGTTTGTGCGTTAAGTTTTCGATAGTCGATGCACAAACGAAGGTCCTTTTTCTTCTTCCGGACGAAGAAAATGGGAGCACCGTATGACGAACAGCTAGGGCGAATCTAGCCCTTGGCCAAGAGGTCGTCTAGTTGTGCCCGAAGCACTTGAAGCTCCTCTTCGCTTATGCAGTAGATACATCCGCGCGGAGGTATGGCACCGTCCTCGAGAGTGATCCCGTGGCGTATGGGCCAATCCGGTACGACTCCGGCGGGAGCTTGGAAGCTATCCTCATAGCTGTCCAAAAGCTCAATGATGCGGGGGTCCGATGTGTCCGTCTTGGGCTGATCACCAGGTGGGAGGGCGTGAAGAACACATATGCCCATCTCCTCGATGTCGTTCCGCCGGATGGATTGGCGAATGCTTGCCGCGGAGACCACGTGACAACCAATCGAAGGATGAGGAAGCGGCACCGTGCACGGGAGTAGTTCGCCACGCTGATCATGAACGTGAACGGTGCGTCGATAAAAGTTCACCGGATGGTCTTCGCTTTGCAGCCACGACATGCCTAAGATCATATCGAACTTAGTGTCCAATATGTCGAATGGCACGGCCTCGCATGCTAGCGGGGCAAAGTACACAGGCAAAGAGTCAAGGCAAGGGTCGATTGACTTTTGCATGTGACCATCAGCCAATGTGACGTGCGTAGGCTGACTTTTCCTAAACGCGCGGGGCCTAGCCCGACGCGTGACATGAAGTCTTGGCTGATGTAGTTGCGAGACGCTCCACAATCGATCAAGGCATTGCAGGTCGCCTTTCCGATCTGAACGCGGATGAAGAGGAGCGGCGCGTCGATGTCGACGTACCGCTGCGTTGCGTGCTCGTGGTCGATCTTCGCAAGATAGCTACGAAGGTCAACAACCGCTACTCCGCCGTCCGTTGACGGAGGTGGTACTGGAGCGTGCAAGTATTCGCGCAAATGTGCCATCAAGGCGTTGCAATGCGGTGTTGGCAAAGAACCGGTGGAGGGAAGACGCAACCGTTGGAAGTCCTCAACCGTCAACAGGTTGAGTTCCTCAAGCCTTGCCCAAGTTGATGGACCCTCCGATAGAAGGGCTGGCGAAGCAACTGGTTCGTTGGCCGACAGCGGAACTACCGCGCATGCGCGCGGTGCTCAGTTTCCCGAGCTTGGACACTTGACATTTTCCTTGTCCTTGTCGAGGCATGTGCTGGTGATGTGTTTGGTGCTGTTGCACGATAGACAACATCCCCATTTATGTCTCAACTTGAACATGTCTTCGGTAATACCGAACTTCATCCATGGTGACTGTCGTGCTCCATCCGCCAACACTGGTTTCGCCTTATGTTTGCCCCCTCGGGGTCTTGAGTGTTGCGGTGGTATCACTGCCGCCACATCTCCGTCACTTTATGTAGACGAGGCTGCGTGATCCTCACTTGATCCTTGCTGGATCGCTGCTACTTGCGGCATCCGCTGACCTTTGCCCTTCTCCACGTAACCGGGTTGTTGTTGGGCCTCGTTGGCCGCACGCCGGTTACCTTGTATGAGCTCCCTTGCCTTTGAGATCATGGCATCAAAGGTCTCATACTGGAATTCGCTGCCAAGAGCAGCTGTCGAGGCGTCGCAAGACCGGGCGAAGAACTCGGCCCGGATTGAGTCGAACGGCAGGTTCAACTCCGGGTTGGCGACGAGTCTTTGCCACTCCGTCAGCCATTCCTGTGATGTTTGCTGGCCTTGGAATATGCGGAAGATCTTGTTCAAGGCGTGACGTTTGTCGTTGTTGACCATGAACCGGGTCTTCCACTTCTTCTCGAACTCCTCCCACGTGATCTTGGTGTGGAGGGTGGCGATGGTGCATTCCAACGTGACGGCCATGTGAGTCATGAAAGCTTGCGCCCCTCCAATGAGTTGGAGGTAGAGTGCATCAAGCCGCCGTTGGGGTAAGACATGATGTACGTCTGCCTCCGCGTTGAATGTCATCCACCACTGCAGCGGATCGGTCTTGTGGTAATCGTCGAACTTCTCAATCTTGAAGTTCGGCATCTTCCATTCCTTGGCGACGGCGGCCGGTCGTTGTTGAACGCGGTCGCTGAGCGTCTGCAGCTGATTGCTGACTGTTGATGCTCCAGCAAACTTGCTGATGTCGCCGAGGGATGCTACCACGTGGTTGATCCGCTCCTCGAGTTGCTTGGCCTGTGCGGCCAAAGGTGGGCTGCAGTCTGCCACTGCACTGCCTGTTGACTCAACTGCGGACAGTCGTGCCAACCCTATGCTGACCGTGGTCTGCAGCTGGCTGTCCGTGTTCTGCAAGGCGGTGAGCTTTTGTTCCTGCGTCCGCAATGTTGTTTCGTGGCGGATGAGGGTCTTCAGCATGGCCAACACCTTGCGTTGATGCCAATTGCATGTGTGCAACATGTGTTCCATTAATACTGTTATGTCCTCCTTTCTTCTCTCTTCCTCGGTTGGCTCCTCTTGTTCTTCGTTCGCTCGAAAGTGCTGTTGTTGAAGTATCCTCCGATACGTGGCTTCTTCGTTGGCGAGCTCCATGGTAGCCTGGTAACGAGCTTGATTCTGACTGGCCTCGACCTGCTGCTGTTGCAACCATGCAGCTGCTGCAGTTTCGGCTGCAGCCTGCTGACGTGCTGCCTCTGCCTCTGCCAGTTGGCGTTGGATTGCCTGCTGGCGGGTGGCTTCCTCCTCTTCCCATTTGCTCAGTTCAGCTGCAGTAGTCTCCGAGTAGAGCTGGAGACATTTGAGAAACGCTAGTTGCATTTCATCTGCCACCTGAACTGGTATAGGAGGGGTAACCGGCCTCTTGGGGCTCGCTTGTGCATTGGCGTTAGCGGTAGCGGCCATGGTCGTGCGTCATATGCGCGGGATCCAAGGGGTTTTTGGTCCCTGTTGGGGCTTGGTGCCTGTGGATGCGCGCTCCGCAAGCCGTTGACTGTGGCGCATTAAGTACTCCGGTCTCCGTCTGCTGCTGCCGTGTCACCGCTGAGGTGGCACCTGCTGATGTGGCACTGCGGAGGTGGCCGCTGCTGATTTGGCACTCGGCTGTCGTGGCACGCTGAGGTGGCAAGCGGCCGATGTGGCAATCTGCGTTCGTGGCCTGCTGCTGATGTGGCACAATGCTGACGTGGCGGGAGACTGAAGTCCGCAGTACTGAGAGGAGGAGAGAGAGAAGGTAGGGGTGGAAGAAGGGAAGACAGGCAAACAATGCATAATCGGAAAATACGAGTCAACTAAATAAAATTTAATTTTGGCAAAAGATTAAATGCGAGGCCACTGCCTCTATGAGCCCCATTAAGCCCCTTTTTGGAGCAAGTCGGCTGCCCTAAGTGAAGGCAGGCTCGACGAGGCCCTCAGGGCCCTACTTTGACCACTGCGCAACTAAGGAAATTCAGGCAGTTGCGCAGCGCCAGTTGGTTGACAGAACCCAGGCCCTGGGCCGCCTGTGTGAATGTATGGAAAGCAGGCCGTGGGCTGGATACGGGTACTGGGCCAAACACAGGCCAAAGGCAGTTGGGTGCATGCAACCACCTCAGGCCCAAGGACTGTTCTCGATCGTGCTGGGCC